CCTAGTTTCCAGACTTTGAATTCATTAGGTCTTTCAGATACTGATATTGCTGCAATTGTAGCCGCTTCCCCCTGCTTTAACTTACGAAATGTATTTTGACTAAAAAGCTGCAAGATACAACCATTCCATGTTTTAACTACTTAAACGAGAGAGAGAGAGAGAGAGAGAGAGAGAGAGAGACCCTTTAGTTAAATAATTATATATTTTTTCTTTTTTTTTTTAAATAGAGAAAACCTCATAAATGGTCCCGGTGTATTGAAATGATGAAAATGCCCTTCACTTAACGGTAGAAAGCTGACGGAGTTAGGCGGAAGGACCATCTGTTAAAAGTTTTGAAACCACAGGGACCATCTGTAAGGTTTTTTGAACTTAAGGACTAAACTTGATATTTTCGGAAACCACAAAGACCATTTTTGAAGTTTTGTCTTTTGATTATTATGTTTTATTTATCAAGTGGTATTTTGTTTTATAAGCTTCATTTATTGTGTTTTATTTAAGTAGTATCGTTTACTATTATTATTATTATTATTATTATTATTATTATTACAATTCCCCTTTAAAAGTACACACGTTAAATAAAATGTATTAAATTGAAAGAAAAAAAAAAAGAACACAAACAAATGAAACAATACACGATGGAATACTATTTTAATTAATTTGAAGGCCCACATCCATTGTATTATACAAACTAGGTATAAAACTCATTTATTACATGAGTTTATTTTAAAGAAAAAAAAATATGAAATTCTAAATATTTGAAAAGTTTGAATTTATAAGAAAAAAAAATAGAAAAATATTGAATTATTAAAGTTAAATTGTTGTTTTTCTTTAAGTTAAACAAATAATTTAGATAAATAAACAAATGAAACTAATGAAACTTGAATTTAGAAAATTTGAAATTAGAAAAAAATCAATTAATAAAATTGATATTTATTTATTATTACATTTATTAGAATTATTTATTATTACATTTATTACAATTATTATACTTAAATATTATGTAGAAATTAATAAAATGAAAAAACCACAAGATACGATATGAAAAAAAAATTGAAAATAATTACAAAATGATATTTTGCCAAATCAATGAGAATATGACATATTACAAAAAGTTTTTTATTTATTATGAAGGATTATAAATGTATTATACAAATTATAACGGGCCTTTGAATTTTGATATTTGTCATCATTCCATACAAAATCCAAGATTATAAATGACCTAGATGTAAATGATCATATCAACCCAAAAACATGATACCATTAGTTAAGAAAATTATAAAATTATCCTATTTTTGGAATAATTTGTAGTTTTATAGATGACACAAGTAAAAAGAGTTAGTAACATTGCATGATTCTCGAACAATTTAGTTTTAAGAACTCAACAAAAATATCGTACTGATATGTTTTTGTGGTTATTCACACGGTTATAAAGTAAAAATATATAAATTTTAGAAATAAAAACAAAATGTTGTTTGTCCAATAAAATAATATTTGATAGCTTTCGAAAAATGAAGAATGATGAAAATGTTTTTTTTTTTTTTTTTGTTAATTAGATTAAGTAAGTATTTAATAAATATGGAATGCGATGATTTTTAGGCAATTGGATAAAAAATTGTAAATGATTTGCTATAAAACAATAAACAACAAAGTTCAAAAACATATAAGAGCTCTTTCACAAAAAAAAAAAAAAAAAAAAAAAAAAAAAAAAAAAGAAGTTAATGTTTAAGGTCTAATTAAAGAGGCTAACATAATCAAACTCAATTGTATATTTCTTATTTCACTCTCACACGAACACAAAATGGAAAACCTTATTATTCTTCAAAATCTTGCCAAATATATGATTCCAAGCTCCGGACCGGCTCAAAACACATTTCCCCCCGGACAACAACAAAGTATATGAGTCGCTAAAATTATCAAAATTCATTTCATGTCGGGTTTATAGTTGACGAAATTCACGCAAAGACCTAATAAATATTAATATTATAATGTAATTCAAAATTATTATAATTAATGTGGTGATTAGATGATATCATCCCATTCAATTTAAATAGGGTAAATAATATAAAAAACACTTCGTTTACACTAAAATTTTAATTTGACACAGTGTTTTTCTTTGTCTCAAATTTGATACTGTGTTTTTCAATTTGTTACAATTCGGACCACTTGGCCGGTCAACCAGGTTACATGCTGACGTGACATGATGATGTGTCAGTTTTGATGACATGGCATGGTGACATGATATGCTGACGTTTCAAAATTGAATTTTTTTTTCCATAAAAAACACTAAGTTTTCACGTTTTTTCGATTTTAACACTAAGTTTAATTTTTTCTTTCAATTTTGTCACTATATTTTTTTTTCCAAATTGAACATCATTTATCAAATTTTGTTCAATTTTGACCATATTCCATTTGAAACCGTATAAATATTTTTTTTATTACATTTTAAACCGTATAAATATGCTTTTTTTCAATTAAAAATCAAAGTTTTTTATAAATACGAGGGTTTTTTTTAAACATTCAAACCATAATTTTATGTATAAATATGTATTAGTTATATAAAAACTGTATTTTATATTAAATATGCAACTTTAAAATGAGTTTAACGGTTTGGAGGCATGTAGTTGATCAAAACCCGGATGTCAAGTTTACAACCTCTGAAAATTTTAAATCTTATTAGAAGCTTATGGTTAGTTTGATTCTCATGATATAACTAATGCATATATACATTATGCTTTTAATGTTAAAAAAAAAATAATAACAAAAAAAAAAAAAAAAAAAAAAAAAAAAAAAAAAACACCTTGTATTTAAATAAAAATGTGGTTTTTAAACAAAAAAAAATGTATTTATACGGTTTAAAATGTAATAAAAAAATATATTTATACGGTTTTAAATGAAAACCGGTCAAAAATGAACAAATTAGAAAAAATGATGTTCGATTTGGAACAAAAAAACATAGTGTCAAAATTAAAAGAAAATATTAAACTTAGTATCAAAATCGAAAAAAGTGAAAACTTAGTGTTTTTTGTGAGAAAAAAAAAATCAATTTTAACACATCAGCATATAATGTCAGCATGTTACGTCAGCATGTAACCTGGTTGACCGGTCAAGTGGTCAGAATTATAACAAACTGAAAAACACAGTATCAAATTTGAGACAAAAAAAACACGATGTCAGATTAAAATTTTAGTGTAAACAGAGTGTTGACAAACTGCTATAGATAATAATAGAACTAAATATCTAATACTTATTTTAAATAAACAATACCCTAACATTGCAACTAAGTTAAAAATACATTCTCTTTAGTGGGGTTGAACCGGCATTTAAGTAATAAGTCATGCAAACTAACCAAATTTACTACACGATAGTTTATATTTTAACCTCGCCATTTATGTAGTTATTAAGATAATTGTCTAATTTGATTTGGAAAAATGTTTATGCCTTGTCAAAGTTGAACCCAGATTCCCAAACAAATAGTAAGATCACAACTTACAATCCGATCTCCATTACTTATAAAGTATGTGATTTTAAAAAGGTTTGTAGGTTAGTTGGAAGCCAAAAAGAAAAATAAAATAAATTGGATTTTAGATCACACTTGTGCTTGTTCCTCAACCCTTATGACTTCACTTTCAGCCTTTGCTTCAGGATCATCCATGCATTCATCGATTTTCTTACAAATCAACTCACAAGAAGCATCAGACAAAGAAACAACATAAACAAATTCAATTTTTTATACATTGATCATGAAAATCATCATTTCCTTGAATCAAAAAGTTGTAAAGTAAATAGACCTGGCAATGGGGCGGGATTGGAACGAAGCAAGCGTGATCCAAACCCTTTTAACAAATTTTAAAATCTTATCCAAACCCGCTCCGTAACCCGCAGGGTTTTGAATAATCAAACTCATACCCTTATCCACCGAATCAGCAGATATCCAAACCTGCCCAGTAACCTGTAGGTTTTTTGAATAATCAAATACATATTACTTAAATCATAAAATCACATTTATTAAATAAAACCAAGTTTTGGTTTAGAAAACACATTATGTACTCGAGGGCTTTCTGTTGTAATTAAAATCATTATTTTAGTTACTTCCGATTGGTTTTTGACCTTCGATTGCATTGATAGAGAATAACAATTACAAACTTTCTTCCGGTTGATAAATGAACTTATTGATTTATAAATGAAATTGGTGATTACATGATGAAATATAAATGAAATGAAATCATGACTCTTGGGAGAAGATTGGAAGTCTAAATGGTGAGTCCTCGAGTCCTATGTAAAAACAATTTAATCTTTGGCCTTTTCTCTTTGGACTTCTGATTGGAATTTAATGTAAACTTTAGGCAATATAAAATTTAAATTTATATGGGGCGGGTTATAAACGGAACGGATCGATAATGATCCATACCCGACCCTTTTAATAAAAAGGTTAGCGGGTACGGGTTGTTAATGGGTAAACGGATCAAAAACTATGCTCCAAACTCATATAATTGTTAAGGGTTTGGATCGGATCAGGGTCAAAACCCGCTCCATTGCCAGACCTAAAAGTAAAGGACTGAATACAAGAAATAACAATATTTTTCATATATTTGCTTATTATAAAATCCCACTTTCATTTGATCTTGTTACAACATTTCATTTCTTTAGAGAGTATACGGGTCTCAACTTCTATAACAATATAACATCCACTTCTGATTCTAACATTTCAAGTTAGTGAATTGCTTATTCAATCTACATGTACAAAAGGATTCACAATTCAAAAACAATTAGTAGACACATAATTATACTATCATGTATTTTTTGTAAGTAAATTTATTAAGGAGCAAAGCAACTACGTCCTCAAAACCACTTGTTTAAAAAAATGACATAAAGATATATTGTATTTACACCAAAAACAAAATATTAAAGTCCACATATCCTACTACCCAATTGACAAAAGCCAAATCAAGAATGAAAAATAAATAAATAAATAAATAAACAAACAAAGGCGTTGATGGACTTCAAGTCGCCGGAAACTTCCATACCCATTGAGAAAGACGAAATCGAGGATGAAGAAAACGATTTCGTTTCCAGATCTCACCCAAAACATTAAACTTGCTCGAATTCAAATCACTAGATGAAGAATCAAAATCAAGAATGGAAAAACGAACAGTTTCTGATCCAAGATCACCGGAAATTTTAAACCTGTTTGTCGCCATCTTCAAGCATGAACAACAGTCAAACTAGTTCAATCAAAATTTTATGTTTATAAAGAATGTATTTGATTAAGCGGAAAACTTCAAAGATTTAGGGTTTTTTGAAATCTGATATCAAAATTCAATTGTTAAATCCATATACAACCTCCGATAATTCTTCTCTCTACCAATCAAATATAAACATTTGAACTAAAAACTCTCTATACGCATGAAAGAGCAAAGAACAGCCCGTTGTCTTTACGAAAAGACCAGACCTGAATCTTTGAATGTCGCTTCATTTCCTTCTCGTTCTCTTTCACAAACTCATTCCAGTTCGTCTTCAACACATAACTGCGTCTGCCTGTGCTTTTCAATCGCCACATCTTCATCACCATTGGTTTCTGATGCAATCTCAATGTTGGCCCCAATAATCCCACCTCAAACTCCTTTCCATTCTCCAGATCTTGTTTCTCGTTTTCTGTCAAGAACTCATCCGTTTTCAGTTGTTTCATCGGCATACTCAACCTGTTCTGACTTTCCAAAAGATCGCTTTCATACAATTTTTTTGTTGATGACGAGTGTCATATCTTTGCCATTCATGACAGTCGTGATGAAATTCTTCAACCTCCGAGTGCTCACGTTTCGCTTACTGTTCATTTTTGTCTTCGGAGTGGGAGGCTTCAATGTCTTGGAGTCTTTTTCTTGTTGCTCTGCTAGCAAATTCATCTTTTGGTTTACTAATTCCTGAATCTTTTTCAGATAATATTCATCCTCAGCCTCCTTGTTGTATCGCGTAGCAGCGGAATGATGACGCTTTCTCCTTGTTTTTGAATCTTGGGGAGCACTTTTCATTGTTTTTGTAGTGAAAGAATTAAGAACTTCAGTGGAATTTCTAAAAGAATCGAAGGAAGAACTAAGGAGAATACGAATGGGGTACTTCTTGAATTTGTGTATGAATAATTACCCTAATTGGTTGCTGATTTGTAAATGAGGAAAGTGGTATAGTTTGATTTTGAACAAGATACCTAATTTTAAGGATTAATATCGTAAATTAAAAAAAAAATTATTAAACCTTAAATTTATTTAGTTTTCAAAAAGACCTTGTATTTTTTTAGATTCGATTATTCTAGTCATTTTTTTCTAAAAAAATTATAAAATATAAATGTTTTTTATTTTTTATTTTTGAAAAAAACTTTAAAAAATTGAAGATCTATTTCAGGGAAAAAAAGATAAATTTGAAGGATTTTCGGAAAAAAAGATAAATTTGAAGGATTTTTTAGGCAAAATATAAAATTGAGGTTGAATCCAAAAAAATATATATAAGGTTTTTTTAGACTAAAATGCAAAATTGGTCATCGTGGTTTCACAATAACAGTGGAAGAAGTCCAAAAAATATTCGATTTGCAATGAAAGTCCAAAATGAAAAAAAAAAAATGCGGTTTTGGATTTGAAAGGATAATTTTGTCCGTATTATTTCTTCTTTTACTTTTTCTGTATTTATTTTGGTATTCAAATAATTATAAAATAAAAATAAGATAAAATTGGAAAAATAGTCCCTATGATATGCATTTTTTTAGGTTTAGTCCAAACTTCGACTTTTTGGTTTTATGGTCCTTTTTGCTTAGTTTTTACGTGAAAATGATCCATGGATTTAACTCCCGTTAAGTTGTTGCCGTTAACCCCTTATGTGTCTACCACGTGAGGTTATATTTGCATTTTCACCTTTTAGGGACCATTTTTGCAGATTGAAAAAATATATATCCACACCATCATCCAACCTTCAGGCCTTTGATCATCATTTTCCCTTAACATATTTTATGAAAATAACTATCATGAAATTGAATTATGTAAGAAGAACATTTTGTGACAATGTTTTTATATGACAAATAATAAAACAAATTTTAGTAATTCTGACAGAATACATATGACATAGTTAGATTCTCTTACTTATGATGGTTATTATCATAAGTGTTATAAACTATTATGAATTATTATTTAGTGAATGACTATTGAATTCCCCATATCCCCCATCACTCTTTATAATTACCGAGCATTATAAAAAACAATATTATGAATTGTATTAGTGTCGTTGTACACCACTATAATGCGCAATCATATATATAAAATACCTCACATTTCATCTTCATTGTCTAGTATAAATGATGAGTATTATATATTGTAAAGTTTTGTTGTTTTTACCACAAGTGAAGAAAAATAGTTCTTTACAATCTCATTTTCTACTTTGTTCTTTAACTTAACTATATATTTTATAATACATTATCAGCATGACTCTATCATTGAGCTCTAACTCCTTAGCGTTCTTGTCATTTTCATGTCTCTTTTTCTATAAGTTGACATGTATAATGCTTACAAGTTATTTTATGAAATTTATTACCAAGAATTATATGGTGAAACTATTACTGATGAATACATGCTAGAGAAAAAAATTTATACTTTTCATTCCACTAACATGTTTCTGCAATAAAAATATCATGAGAAATGTTTTTTTTTAATTATGAAATAATCTCATGTCTTCTTGTGGCTGAACAAAATATTGAGCTATTAATGAAAAGTCACCAATCATGCTTGCGGTTCTAATCCATTCCCTGAAGTGAATGCAACATCATATAATCATAATAGTCATGTATCTAACCGTGGACGTGGCCAAGATCATGGATGTCGTCATAGTTATCGTAACAATACTTAGAAGATTGCAAGTAACCACCAGAAGTTGGAAAATAACAAAAATTCATATCCTAGTGATACAAGTGGTCAAGACAAAAAAAAAAGTTGAAGATAATTGTCACTGATATGGAATGATCGGTCATTGGTCTCGTACATGACGCTCTCCAAAGCATTTTGTTGATCTTTATCCACCTTCTCTAAAATCTAAAGTATGGGTGACAATTTATGACATGACGCGACAAAAATACACGACACGAAAGGAAATTGGAACGAAACTGAAATTCGAATTCATGCTCGTGTTAACTGTGAAACACGATACCGTGTCGTGTAGTGTTCGTGTTCAAAATACGACACGAAACTGACACAATTTAACAGTTCTTTTATCGTGTTTGTCGTGTTTGTTATGTTATATTTGATAAAGTATTCATTAAATAAACTAGTTTTTAGTATATGTTATATTTGTTGTGTCATGTCGTGTTTTTCATTTTTTTTTAATTTGTTCGTTTTCATGTTAGTTAAAAAAACACGATATCGTGTCGTGTCGTGTTCATTTTACATAAAACACTATCGTGCCATATCGTGTCAGACAGAAACACGAAACAATAGCATGATTTTGTTGGATTAGTGTCTAAGTCCATAACTATTTTGGTATGTACTTGACCCGATGGTGCATGGTCCTTTTGGGTTACCTTCACCAAAGCAACTTGATTGGAGAAATAAATAAAGAGAGAGAGGTTATTATGATTTATTAATATGTTATAAGAATAATATATTAAAGGAGAAATCATATTTGTTTAATTAATATTGGTCAATAATTAATTAGGAATTAATTTTGTGATCAAGTGTAATTAATTAAACTAGAGGGGCTGAATTGTAATTATGTGATAGTTACAAAATATGGTAATGGTTATCCTATATATGGGTTGAACGAATTCAAGGAGATAAGGATCCTTGAAATCGTCCAAAGGATAAAGGATAACGGTTTTCAAGGCTTATCTTATGGTTGCTTTGTGGATAAGCAACTAGATAAGGATAATGACTGAAACTCTATCTCTACACCAATATAAAGACCCTAAGGCCTTAGAATTCGTGTACTTGTTCCCAAGGAGTCCTAAGGACGAATTCTAACCTCTCTCCTCTCTCTTTATACCTTCTCCATTGGCTCTTGGTGTTTGTAAGCCATTAGAGGAGTGACACTTGTGACTCTAAGTATTCCTAAGTCAATTCAAGGTGGAATTAGGATTGTTATTGCTATCTAACAATCAAGGTATGTTCTTAAACCCATTCATATGTTAATATCGATTTCATATACTAGTATTAGGGTTTATAGTCTTGGATTCATAGCATGTACAATAGAGAAACCTAGATCCAAGCATTAGGGTTTGTATGAGCACATAGGATGTCTTATGACCTAAAACCATCAGATTTGCCACCCATAATCTAAAGAAAAAAAATATTGAACAAATTTTATTTAAAATATTTTTCACGAAGATTAATAAAAAATGATACATTTGAATGTTGTTGGTTTTCTTGTCTACCCAGAAGAGACAAGTGGTGATATGGATGGTGATGAAAGAATGAAGTACGTAGTTTCGTTTCATGACATTTCTTATGTTTTTATGTCAAAGTTGTGTCATCGAGATGCTTATTTTCTGCTTCAAAATGTTATAAAAGCTCTTTTATACATGTAAGCATATTGTCAGAAAAATTTTGTTCGGTATGAAATGTTTTTGTCAATTTCATTACCTCAGGATGTGTTTTACCGTTCATTGACTCAAGTTATTTCCTTTTGTTTTCTTGACTGGATTGAAGTAAACATTTGTTGTCCATTATCAATCCGGTATGTCGCATTAGTTTCTCCTTACACGATTCTGAAACACAAAGCAACATTGTGTTAATAGTCATTGTCGGGATATGTGTTACTTGACATCTCGAAAAAAAGATGAAAAGACGAAAAGGGAGACACGGAGAGGAACAAAAAAAAAAGGATGAAGATGGTATAACAACGAGTAAAACAATTGGATTTAAAAGGATTAGAAATATCAATAAGTATGATAGTTTTTAAGGCAAACCAAAAATACATATTAAGTAATTGTTTCCCATAAATACTTTTAGTCTATATCATATAGTAAAATATCAAATTAAGTCTTTGAATAACCGTAAAACGGAAAACAATTTGGATATTCAATTCCATCTAATAAATATAAACAATCAAATGGAAAAGGTAAAATAATAGACCAAATCTAAATCTTGGTGTTTTCTTTCAAGTCCTTTTTATTTTGTTTGAATGTATATGATTCAAAATACATTACCTTTTTTTACAACACCTTAAAAATATATATCAAATTATAAAAGAAAAGAAAATAACACAAACATTACAAATGAAATCAATTATATATGTTTTATTTTGAAATGGGCGTAGTTATTGGGCTTCATTGTGGTATTTATAAATTAGAGTTCACAAATATTGGTTTTAAATCGGAATCTTTAGAAAAAAAAAATGATTTTTTAAAAGCTTGGTTATAGAAAAACTTAAGAAAAATGTCATAAATGTCCTACAAACTTTCCGTGATTTACTTATTTAGTCCTTAAATTTATTGTCGGGTTTTATGGGTCCCGAAACTAGGTCATGACCTACCTTTTTAGTCCCTATCAATCTGTAATAGCTGTTTTAGTGATATTTTAGATTAAAAAAACTCACATTGTACCCCTATAAAACCAAAAAAATAAGTTCGGAAATCAATTCATATTTTATAACAAATAAAAGGTTCATCTGGCTCTATTCCATCTATTTCAATTTTCCAATATCTATTAATAGTGTAACATTAAGTTGCATCGACCGCTCCTCTAATATAAAAACATCATGATTCATTTTGAGTCTTCTAAATAATTGAGAAATGGAACAATTGGAGATCAAAAGTATTAAAAATTTGATTTATAATCCAGTAATAGCGATCAATTGGTTAAGAAAGGATGGAGTCATAGCATAATTTGATTGAGTTTTTGACTATCATTGCGATTTTTAATTCTAAATAGAGTAAATTACACGAATGATATCTATAGTTTGGGGTAATTTACACATTTGGTCCCTAGCTTTTTTTTTTTTAACTCAGAATGTCCACACTTTTTGTTATTGCTACATGCTTGGTTTCTATTGTTTATTTTTG